TAGGGACGAATAAATGGAGGTCCCGTTTCCTGCAGGGTTAGGGGTAGGAGACGTTAGTTTCCCACACACGAGATTACTGTGTGATGGATGTCCTCCCCTGGGGTGGGATGGTGGGATGTACAAACCCCCATTTAAAACAGCTTCATCCCACCCTAGGGTGGGATGGGTAGGTTAGTACATTAATTGTAAAGCGCTGTTGATCTGTCAATGTAAAAAGCGCTCTATAAAAAAGAAATTATTATTATTATTATTATTATTATTATTAGTGGATGCGTGTTTACAAAACGTACTTCGCTGTTCACTGGATAGCAATTTATCCACTGGAAAGGGTTATTATTATTATTATTATTAGTGGATGCGTGTTTACAAAACGTACTTCGCTGTTCACTGGATAGCAATTTATCCACTGGAAAGGGTTATCCAACTTTCGAACAGCTGGGGAATGCAGTTAACCCATGACGCATAACACATAGCGCAGATGATTACGAATCGATGAAAGCCTTTCTCACCTGTCGTTCATCCATTCTTCTGATTCCTTCCTTTCTTTCAACTGCAAGAGAGGAAAATGCATCTTGGTAAATTTATTCCGATAAATCAGGCGGACAATAACGTCTCAGCCTTAATCATTTCATAAAACTATAACTACAACTGCACAAACAGAGCAATTTGATTGAGTGTCGAAAGTAATCCCGGACATCAAAGGTTTTGCTTCACTCTGCTTCATAATTGGCCCAAGTAACTGGCGCCATACACTCTCTGGACCAATCAGCTTGAAGACCTCAACTAAACGTGACTTGTCGCTCGCGTGAATAAGTTATAAGATAGTGATAATTTCTTATTTCTAAAGACTTTAATGTTTGACTCTGATTGGAAGTGACGATGCAAGGAGAACATAGTTGCTAGTTACTCCAACAATTTAGGGAATTTAACGCCACATAATCAACCATGCCCTGAAAGCTTAAAAAAAGACCATCGAAGTAGTGAAATTCATACCTCTCTGTTTAAATGCGTGACCAGGATTTCGCCATTTCTTACTTTCCTATACAACAAAAGAATATATATCAATGCACTATGAACCTCCCTAATAAAAAAAGAAAATAAAATCTTTCTTAACCAGCACTTGTAGTATTTTAACCCTCTAAATGTAGTTTAACTCGCTCGCTCTTTGATCTGAAGCTTACGATTGATCATACTGTTTTGCTGTCCAATTTTTAAGTCTTTAATAAATTTGTTTTTGGTCCTTCTTAGATCATTGTAATCCTCGCTTATCGGCTCGGGCTTAAATAACTCTGAGTTGGGCCAAAAACATAGTATGCCCGCGAACGTAAACTTTATTGTTTTATTACACTTGATACTCACTGAGCTTGCTGGGTAACTTTCTTATCAAGTTCAAAAGTGGCGACTTCTTCTTTTGCCAAGGCTACTTGCGAAGCTCTGAAGTGGAACAAAAAATAACATGTCTTGCATCAAAGGAGACAACAAACCTTTAAAACCCTGATCTACATGTACTTAATTTAGTTAGTCTCTTCTGTAAACTGGAGTATAGTTTACCAGGCATTGTCCAATGTTTGAGACAAATAGGAAAAATAAGGAAAACCGGAAGTAAAATATACCCTCTATTAGCATAAGCTTTATCTTAAGGTACCAAAGACACCCGAAGATTTCCGAGAATGTTCCGAAAACTTCTCATATCCCGAGAAGTTCTGATGCAACCTTATCTCTTGTGCTATCCGCGGAAACTAAGTCTGAGACCCGATCATATCCGAATACACCCGTAGATTTCCGATAATGTCCTAAAAATTTTTTATGTTTTCCCATTAAGTCTCAATGCAATGTTATTTCTTTCGCCATGCACTGTAATTAAGCCTGAGACCCGATCATTTCCGAAGACTTCCGAGGACGTTTAAAAAATTCCGAAGATGTTGCGAAGAGTTTGCCGCTAATTAAACGCATATAATATTTGTAGGAGATCCGATCATATCCGAAGGCACCAAAAAACTTCCAAGGATCTTTCCAAAATTTCTGGTATCCTGAAGAGTTCTGGCGCACCCTTATCACTTGCATTTTACGCTGTAGCTAGGCCTGAGACCCGATTGTATCCGAAGACACCCAAACTGATTTCCGAGGACGTTAAAAAAAAACTTTGGCCAACGTCCCGAAGAGTTCTGATGTAACCTTATCTCTTGCGCTATATATTGCACTTTAGCCTGAAACCCGATCATATCTGAATATGTACACCCGTAAACTTCCGAGGACGTTTCAAAAAATTTCCGAAGACTTTACGAAGTGTTTTGACGCAAACATACCGCATGAGTTTTTTTTTAAGATCAAATCCGAAGACACCCGAACACTTCAAAGATGTTCTAGAAAGTTTTCGTGATATCCCGAAGAATTGTAAGGCAACAGTATCAATTTTGCCATACATCATAACTTAGCCTTAGATGCTATTATATCCGGAGACACCGGAAGATTTCCGAGAACGTTACGAAAATTTGTGAGGATTTCCTGAAGAGTTATAATGCAGCCTTATCTCTTACTCAACACGCCGCACCTCAATCTGAGCCAGTCATATCCGATGACTCCCGAACACTGCCGAGGACGTCTGAAATTTTTGCGAACACTTCCCGAAGAGTTTGACGTAAACTTTTCTCCAGTACTTAGCACAATACTTTAGCTTAGGTTAATCTTATACTTACGCAATTTTTTGTTGAAGCTCTTCTATTTCATTCTTCTGGTCTTCAGCAGTTTTGGTCAGATCCTTGAATTAAAAATTATTTTGAAATTTGAAGGAAATATTGGCAAAGCTCTCATGACACGTTGTCGGACGGGACTAGTTTTTGCTCTTATTAAATGTTATATCCTTTTGAAAGATGTTGTGGACTTTGGAAACGATTATGTAAAGAATTCCATAAAAGGAGAATGTAAGAGCACTAATCAAGTGTCCTTATACCTAAGACATACGGTAACACCAACCTTAATCTTTGGATTGTCTTTCCAGGCTGACTGACTAGAAGATTGCAAAAAATGGAAAAAAATTAAACACCGGGTAAAGTTTTGAAAAAGAAAACCTATAAGATTTTGCATTAAACGGATGAACTTTGGAAAAGAAAAAAGTATGGCTATGTAAAGTTTTCCTTCCAGAGTCTTCAGGAGAGCAAACAGGAGATTGATTATCTCAGTCCGGTGACTGCTAACCGGAAGTTTACGCTCATTACAGGATGTAATTTTGGTTTCGATTACTATCTTGGAATGAAATGTTTCGTTTACCTTTTCTCCTACCCTTTTTCCGCAGCGCTCTGCTCAGTGGCTGTCACCTTGCATTCTGCGGACTGAAATTGCTACAACAATTAAATTTCCTCTTTACTTTTAACAACTTGCCGTACATAAATGCCTCATAAGCGGACTTGTGCGTTCAATACAAATTAAGAAACAAACCCACTTACTGACCTGATACTCGGTTGAAACCTGAGGAGAAAAAAGCAAATGCAAATTGTTTAACCACAGTTTCATTGTTAGAAATTTGACACAGTCTGCACAAATGTTTAATTTACCTGTTTTTGATTAGCCTGCTGGATCTCTCCTGAGAAAAAAAACCAAGAGTGCATTCGATGAGGAGAGAAATTTCTCTTACGACTGAAGACAAAAGCTTTCTTTCGACACAAAAATAAACTAAAAACAGAAAAAGAAGACAACTAAACAACTAACTTCTACTAACCTTCTTGAATTGAGGCCATTTTCGATGAACACTCTGTGTTTCTCTCCTTAACTTTTGATAATTTCTCACAAATCAGCGATGAAAATTTCCGCGCCCGATTCGCTCAAAACGCAGTCGGATTCTGAGACAAGTGTTTGTAGTCATGACGACTTAGCGTTGCAATGGACGTTACTAGCCATATTAGGAAAACGCAGGGCTTGCACGAGCTTCTTGTCACGCAATCTTGAAAAACTTGCTCGTAACGAAAAGCGTCGGAATCAGTATCACAAATTATAATTTGATTTGGGGTCAATGAAGACATTTTACGTTCTTTGTCCCAAGTTCGAGAATAGTTTCCATAGGCTACTTTTAAAACCTTTCACTCCGACGAAGGGCTAACGCTCGAAACGTCAACTTTTGTAATCGTTACGGTGGCCAATTTACCATTTCAACTTTGTTGATATATTCAAATTATTTTAGCCGACGCAGCCCCAAACAATTTCTTTCGAAACTATCAACTTTTATACCTTTTAAATTGATACCCAGGCGTTATGTCTCAGCCAGTCGGCTAAAATTTGACTTTTCTGTAAACATTCCCTCTAGATTTGAATCAAACTCACTTTATGAGTTATCTTGGTTGACCTTTTCCTCCACCTTAATTGAACAAAGGGGAACTTTTCTCAGTTCTCGTTGAGTTTCATCTTAAATTCATTGTTGCAATTCAAAGCTTTTCGTTTCTTAAAAATTTTCATATTTCCAACTAGCGCATATATAAACGTTGCAGGCTAAGGCTCAGGTCAGACGCCGTACTTCAGCCGAGCCGATTCGAATTCAACGATAGGCCATCCTTAATTTGTTAATCCAAGCTGAATTGATTTAAACGCCGAATTCATTTTCGGCCGAAATTGATTAAGTGAGGAAAAATCTGCTCAGCTCAAGTACGGCGTCTGAACCGTGCCTCAGAAGACCCGTGAGCTTGGGCTTCGTACTTAGACAAAGACAATATTCCTCCTCTTCGCTGTAAGTAAAGACCATTCCATTAGAATGAATCATTTTCAAAGAGTTCGTGATTCCTTTTGAAAATCAAAGATAGATTAAATTACCTTACAATCCTCGCTGTCGAGAATGAAATTCCTTTTAGAGCAGAACGACGGTTGCCTGTCGTCGACTTTCTCAGTTTCTGAGACGACAAAATATGATATTCGTAGGGTTTCGTTCACTGCAGATTTATAAACAAAAACTCGTGAATTAGATTAAAAATTACTCTATCGGTTAAGACGCTTGAAAAAGATCGAGAAGAATTAAGCTTAAAAGGAAAGGCTGCCGTGTACCGTAAACTTGTCCTGACGGTCTTTCTGGAAAAATTAGACAATACCTTCGTAATTTTAATCAAAATCATTTTGTAGCGTTTGAAATTTCAGAGGTAGAAAGGTATAATCCTGGCTAAAATAGCTCTTGTTTTTGACGTAGTTCTGTTTCATTCTCTCTCCGTAAAAGTGTGAAATAACCAAGTTGCGCAAATAACCAAAGAGCCGGGCTTGAAAACTCACTTGTATGTATTCCAAACAATTTCACAAACCGAGCCATCCTCAGAAACATCACTCTTTTGTCCTTCCAAATCAAACCACCTAAACAGATTCCATTCTCCGTTCTCTTTAAATAATTTTCGAAAGTTTAAAACAAAGACTAAAAATTTTCGCGAATATTTGTCCGCACAGGAAGTTTGATTATAGCGGGATTCAAGACATCTCAGCATGCTCGCTTTCAGCCTACAGCGAAAATGATCTGTCTGTAGTATACTAGGACAGCGGTTGTACATGTGAAAGCATACATCCGGGAGAGTGTTAGCGCGGGAAGAAAGTGTTAAAAACGTGTACTGTGGAGTGTTCTGTTGTCTTTCGCCTTCGTGGCTGCCTTTTGCGGCTTACTTTTCGCGGTTAGACACTACACTGTCCGAATTCTAGTCCAAGAAATAAACTTCAAGGCTTAATAAGAACCATTGATCAATCCATTCTCTGCAAGGAGAGAATAGTTTAATTTGTAGAATATGATAAACTACATCAAATGTACAGTTAAGAAAACTGTCTTTTGGGACCATCAATTAAATTTTTAAAATATTTTGCATGCGTTATTCAACCCTACGCTGAAGCGTCTAAAAAGTGACAGAGCAGACAAAACAGATGTGAATTGAAAAATTGCAGGGTACACAACAAGGCTGTGTCAATTTCTCACAATTTTGATTTTATCCATCAAAGAGAAGAGGAAAGAGAAGGGTAAAGGCTATAGAATGCTCGCTTGATACAAAACAAAATTTCTTAAGTAACTTACCATGATATATAAAGCAGCTGGAAAGGGAAATTTTCTGTCTCGGGCTCAAATAGCAATGTTTTATTGACTATAATTATATAGCCACATAAGCCCAAAAGAGATCATGTCAAAAAATCGATAATTACAAACAATCATCTCAAATTTGAAATAAAGAAAACTATGATGTTCTAAATCAAAAAATGTTTATAAACGTATCTACTTTATGTACAATAACAAAGATAGTATCCAAAAAACTCAAAACATAACCGGTGGTTGCAAATAATAGAATCTCCAGATATCCCTTCTGGACATAGAGTTGTAAAAATTTAAATATTCTACCTGGGTTTACATAAAGATTTGAAATCAAAAAAGAAACTTTGTGCTCCTTCACAGTTAACTAAGTTGCCAGAAAATTGTCATGACAAACGTTCACTTCATCCCAACCAAAAAAAAATTGAAAAACCACTCTACAACAAGCTTCTTTGTCAGAAAGTCTCTTTAATTGACCTTGCTAATTACAATACAACAAGCATGACTACTATGTACATGTAGCATAAAATAAAAAATTATGCAAGTTTTAAAATTTGTGGATCTTATCAGATTATTCTGTGCTTGATACTGAAAAAGAAGTTCTTGCAGAGAAAAAAACACACCAGAAAATAAAAGTTTGCCAAAACTTACAACCTTTAGGGAACTGAAAATCTCTAAGTGTAGGAAAGAGTAGGCTTTTTTTTAATGATTTTTGTGTAGTATTCCAAAAAAGTATTTGGTGAAGTACCTCAGGAAAGAAGAAATAAAATCAGCCAAAGATAAAAGTTGACAAAAGCACATTCCATTACTTGGTTATGTTTGGCTGCTTGATCTAAAAATTGAAAAAAGCAACAGTGCTTCCTAAAAGAAATTTCTCCCGATCCACACTGCAAAATTTTTCCAATCTACAAAATCAAACTTCTACAGAATTTTCGAGCTACATCTAAAATAACATTATTTTTACTCTCTACAAGGTACATGCACTCACAAGGAATGAAAAACATATTTTAATTGTAACCTACAGGTATACTGAAACTCTTCAGCATTGTTTTATGAACAATCATATTGTCACTACAGCTCAACTATTGTCTCCCTTTACTTCAAGTCTGGGAGTATCTTCCATCAGATGATAAATCAAGAAAGCCGTAAAGACAAGAAAAACTCCAACAGCCAGCAGAATTTGAATGTGAGGACCACATATGCTATTTTCCTCCTTGTTAAGCTCTGGAGTCTTCTTCTTTGCTGCCATTTCTGCAGGATTTTCTTTGGACAAGTTGTTCTCGGGATCCTTGGTAAAGATTTCCTGGGTCTGCTGCGTTCTCATTGTCATGCTTGGTGCGACTCTTTGTCTTAGGGTTGCTTTTGATGGTGGGGATGATGTTCTTGAATAGGAAAGGTGCTTTGGACCTGCATTTTGCTGGACTGCAAATTGAGAAAAAAAATTAATCCAACAAAATTAACCCTAAATAGCGCTTAACTTGCCAAAGTATTCCCAAGCTTGATTTTAAAAGTAGTAAATTCAATTTGAAGTTATCTAAAGCATCTCAGTAGACTGGAATCTTAAAACCATAGTTCTGATTGGCTAATTAATAATTATTCCACGAGTGCACATTGGATATGAGATGATAGATATCCAATGAGGTGCGTAGGGCTGAGTTGGCTATAATCATCTCCTAATTATCCAACAAACGCGAGTGGAATAATTGTTTTATTAAAAACGCTACATTAAATTATTAAATTTTATTAAATTTTTAGCTCCCTTTCAATCTTAAGCTTATGCGTACGCTCACCATATTGTAGTTTATGGTATATTGGCTCATATACCATAATGGCTGAGCCAATGAAAAGTCTTGAATTGCATTATCCAATTTTTAATAATCATGGTTATACTAGTAACTGGTCTACTTTTTACAGTACAGACCACAGTTTGGCAATTTTCCCTGGCATTTGTAGCCAAGTGGTAAAAAGTATATCCTCATAAAAAAATATATTAGTTATTGACCAGTCAAGGTCAGTCCAAATGGGAAAAAATAACACCTTGGGCATAATTTTCTTCCAAACTGACCTCCCAACCAGAAAATAACATATAATTATCTATATAATATTATATATATGACCACATAATTTAGATGTACTATCTCCAACTCAATATCAATCATATATAATTGATCTAATGCTACATAAAATTTTAATATTAATAAAATGCTTCATTTTTGTAATTTAACATAAATTGAATGATCACATGACTGGAATGATTTTTCAAAATCATCACACCACAGGTTACAAAAATATAAATGTTACAAAATATTTTTCATGTAAATTTGAAGTATGATACTGTGTAAGGCACAAAAATCCACATCAGGAAGATTCTTTCAGTACCTTCCTCATCAAGTTCATATGGAAGCTGTTCTACTGCTTCCTCTTCTTTCTCTTCTGACGAAACTTCATTATCATCTGAGAATTCCACATACTCCTCCTTGGGCTTTACTGGAGAAGCCTTTGGTTGTTTTGGGGAAACTTTCACTGCAGCTGAGATAGCAGGACTACTTTTCTCCTCTGTTAGCAACTTTGCTGAGAAAAAGAAAAATTGGAAAGAATTTTTTTTCTTTTTTTATAAAAACAATGTCAAGATATGAATAAAGGCTGATAGTTTCTAAAGAAACTGTTTGGGGCTGCGTCGGTGGGGGTAACGAAATAATTTGAATACATCAACAAAGTTAAAATGGTAAATTGGCCACCATTACCATTATAAAAGCTGACGTTTTGAGCGTTACCCCTTCATCGGAGCGAATAGGGAAATTGTGGGTTGTGCGTGCTTTTAAAGGCAGAAAATAGAGCTACGTGATTGGTGGGAAAGATTGTGATTGTGCCTTTAAAAGCACACACAACCCACAATTCCCCTATTTGCTCTGACAAAGGGCTAACACTCGAAACGTCAGCTTTTATAATCGTAACAGTGGCCAATTTACCATTTCAACTTTGTTGATATATTCAAATTATAATGTCAAGATGTATCTAATTGAACTTGTCTGACAAATTTTTGGCAAATTTCACATTAATTTTGTTAACCCATTAACTCCCAGTAGTGATGAACTTGTAAATTCTCACTACAGTATCCACACATTATTCAGGAAACCAGTAACGAGAATACCCATAGTTGTCAGGTAGTTCATATTTCTTTATCTGCATGTAACACCAAATTTGTCATAACTAATGCACAAGGAAATGGATAGCAGCTAAAGGTAAATATTACCAATCATATCTTGGGAGTTAAAGTATTAAACCTTGAAAGCCCCTTGAACTTTTTGAAGTAACATTACCAGTTCAGATTTTACCCTCCAGGTTATAATCACAGAGCTAAAGTTGACAGTAAAGTTTCTGGAATTACGCAAACTTATTTCCAATTGTCTGCAGTCATTGACAATTGCAATCTGATCTTATTTCACAAATAAGAGATATATGTACGACACTTAGATTCCATAATATTTGCAGTGGCTAAATATTTGCTGATTTGGCCAACAAAATACTATGTCACAAATATAATCAATGATGCTACACTTCTGTTCAGTGATTGAACACAGATCAAGCCTTGACACTAACAGTAGCCCCGCTAGCGACAGACTAGTAGAAATTTAGTTTTGACTAGTGGTTTTGATTTCTACTAGCCAGTTTGGTTAGTAAATAAACTGAAATTGTTGTAAAATCTAAGATGTCACTAGCCACTTAGCTAGTAAGTTGAAAAGTTAGTGTCTAGCCCTGACAGATATCATCAAAATGTGATGAGAACAAACAAAAATGGCACACAAGGCACAATGGGAGTGTCACTGATGTTATCACCATATTATGACGTCTCCAGAATCTATTTGTACAGAACAACAACTACCTGGAATCTATCTGACTTATAATGGTTATTGAACTGAGTGGAGTGCAATTTGGGCTGAAATCATACAAGTGATTTGAAATCACAAATATGATCTCAGACCTAAATTGCATGACACGAGGTTCTATTACCACTTTATTACATCCATTTTGAAATTGCCCAAATACAGGACTTGGTCAATTCAAATATTTTACTGATGCAGTACTGAGCCGGTTTTGAAAACGATAAGTGGAACCGGAAATGCTTTTACATCTTATTTTGTATGCGAAACAGAAAGACTGACGTAATGTGTCAAAAACTCACTCAAGCGTGTGTAAAATGATGTGATTTAGAGCAAAAAATGGTGTGATTCGTGAATAACACCAATTAGAGCCAATCAGATTACAGGGACTACCAATGATTTCAAAATGGATGTAATAAATATGAGAAAAGCAAAATGTTGTCTAAGGGTGATATCTGTACAAGTCCATCATCTAATTGATCATAAGAAAGAACCAAGCAAAATGCATGTACAATTGCCCTTATCACGTAAACTTTCATGTCAGCTCGTGTGAGCATACTGGTTCACCTAGTTTCTTTTGGTACAAAGGGCGTGTGGATTCTGTAATAGGGCCTACTGTAGCTCCAAAGGATTTAAGCTGCCTGGCAAGATCGCCATCGGACAAAGCCACCACATCAAATGGAAGGCCGCCTTTAACTCTTTTATTGATGGTCACCTTCTTGGGTGGCTTGACTGGCAGCTTCTGTAAGTCAAATTCAAAGAAATCAAACTTGT